TTTCCTATATAACCATTTTGATTAATATTCCCAGAATAGTATTACATAATAGTCTAAATTCTCATCTTAATTTTCACTGGACCTAGTATTTCCCTATTAAACATGAAAATGACTCTACTGATTTAGATGTTCTACCATATTATGGAAATTACTACCAATTTAATTATCATATTATGGAAATTATCATATTTTATCAGTAATGTTACAATGTTGAATTGTGTTAAATGTCTTATTTTTTAATTAATTTTATTGATACACTTTTGACATACATAATAATCACATTCATCATAGGGAATTTGTACCTGTGCATAATATAGCTCAATTCATTTTTTCTCATTAAAAATCACAATTATAATATGAATTTTCTCCCTTAATCTATTAACTTCATAAATTATAATATTTTTAGTATTAAAATATCTGTATATTTGAAGACACTTTGTACATGTTCATGATTTATTTCATGAAATATGATGTTTGAGTCCCTGTGTTAGATTTTTGCCCAGATCCAATTAAGTTTCCATGAGTTATTTCTACATTTTGGCATAAGAGATTTATGGAGGAGGTTTATCAAACTATTTTATTGATCCATAAATTTTGGTATTAATATAAATTTTGATATTTCTATTATAAAATATGGAAAACAAACTTAGAAATTCAGAAGAGTTAAATATTTTAAGCCAGAAAGTCCAAATGAGTTAACTCTACCTATGTAAGCTAAAAGCAAAAAAATTGCTTAACTGATGGAGTCAAATAAACTAGTTTATTCCAGTCACCATCTAATAAGTTTGACTTTGGTATTATTTTATTTATAATTTTTAAAGATAATTCAAATGAGAGTAGTTTTTAGGTTTTTATTTCTAATATTACATCCAATTTGGCACCATGTTAGAGTTAATTCTCATCTGCAATTTGGAAGGATTATTTTACAATATTCTGAGGCAATTTTAATACCATTGCAATTAGACATGCTTTGAAAGGGTGATAAATTTCCCCAAAAAACACCATCTGCTAGAATTCCTGTCATTTTTGGGAAAAGGAAGATTTATTTGCACACTAGATTCTTTAAGATAATTAATTTGCTTAATGTATCTGTCTAATCTATGAATAAATTTTAGTTATGATTGAATATATTTGTTTATGTGCACTTTTTCTTTTATTCATAGTTTATTATTTCAGGGTCCTTGTCAATTGCAGCAGGAGCTACAACAACAAAAGGCATGGTGAGCAATATATTCACTTTCTTTTCTTTAGTTTTTTTCCTACTCCACATGAATATATTGAACAAGTATGTATTCTTCCAGGGTAGGAACCGATTTTAATGTAACTTTATTTTCTAAAAACTTTTCAAATAAAAATGTATACATTTAAAGTGTTCATTG